CAGCTAAAACTGTCAGTTGTCCAGTTATGAAAACATGCTATAAAATTTAGTTGTGCATGTGCAACTTATCATGAAAGTAGGTTTTTTTTTCACGAAAGTAGGTTTTATTATCTTTATAAATTTTACACTGTGCATGTTTTATATCAGTAAATTTATAATAATAAATAATATAACATTCAGTAGCACAACATATCAACTGCCAGTACGTTAGTGACTGAGCCTCTTCATTTCTACTCTGCATTCATAGGTTTGCAGACTGTTTGAGTACACACTGCATGAGTCTCTCCTCACTTTGCTTCCATCTTTGAACTCAAAATGCATATATTTTACAGAATAATTGAGATGTATCTCACATACCAGGCAATTTATCATTTGAAGTATACAATTCAATCTTTTAATACATTCAGAGGATTGCAAACATCCTCATCATCTAATATTTGACCAGTTATTTCCTTTCTAAAAGACACTTTGCAAATGTGGACCTATTTCAACATTCTTCTTGAATGTCTTTGATGTAGGCCAAGTAAGTCATCTAGTAAGCCTATGTTTAATATTTTGGTTATTGCAAAACTGTTTCCAAAGCAACTGCATCATTTTACATTCCCATCAATCCATAGGAATTACAATTTCTTTACATAATCTCTTCATATTTGATTTTAGCAATCCACTTAATGTGAAAGGAGTGCTTCATTGCAGTTTTTATTTGCACTTTCTTGATGACTAATAATATTGATTGTCTTTTATTGCATTTTTTTTTAACCTTTTTTTTTTGTTGTTGTACTGGGGATTCAACTTGGGTCCTTGCGCTTGCAAGGCAGGCCACCGAACCACTGAGCTAAATCCCCGGCCCTATTGCATTTATTTGCCATTCAAACATGTTCCGTGGAGAAATATCTACTTAGAGTCTGCCAATTTTTAAATTATTTGACTTCCTATGATTGAGTTGTGTATTCATGTATTATGAATGAAAGTTCCTTAATAAGTGAATGATATTCAAATATTTTACCCAATTTATATAGGTTTTCATTTCAATTTTTGATGAGATCATTTGCAGCATAAATATTTAAAATTTTGATGTAATTATTTATGATTTATCTTTTATTGTTTTATTTTTGATGCTATAACTATCAGGATTTTGCCCTACTCAAGGTCATAAGCATTTTATTCTTATGCATTCTTGTAAAAATTTTGAGTTTTAGTTCTTACTTTTAGCTCTATAATTCATTTTGATTTGATTTTGATGTATTGGGATAGGTAGAGTTCTGGCTTCATTTGTTTGCATGAGAGTATTGTTGTTATATCAAGCTTTGAAATTAAGTATGTGAACTCCAAATATGTTTTAAAGTATTTTTAATTATTTTCATTCCATTGCATTTATATATGATTCTTAGGATCACTTTGTCAATTTCTGCAAAATGCTAGCTGGAATACTGATAAGAGATGGCATTGGTTCTATAAGTTATTCTTTAGGAATTATCATTTTAACTATATTAAGTATGTTGATTTATGTACAAGGGATATATTTCCACTTTTATCTCATTTTAAATTTCTCTAAGCAATATTTTTAGTACTTAGTGTACAAATCTTAACTTCTTTTGTTAACTTTACATCTAAGTTTATTCCTACAATGCTATTGTTTAGATGTCTTACTAAATGAAATTACTTTGTCTAATTCAATTTGATTGTTCAATAGAAATGATGAGAAGTATAATTTATATCAATGCATAGTTATGAACATATTTATTAATTCTAAGCTTTGTGGATCCTTTAGGATTTTCTAAATATAAGATCATGTCATCTCTAAAGTGAAATTTAAAGAATCTGAAAAGACAGTTTGCATTTCTTCTTTTCCAATTTAGGTACCCTTTCTTTCTTTTTCTTGATTAATTGCCCTAACAATAACTCGTCATGAACATTCAAGTCATTTATATTGTAGTGGCAAACTTTGAAGACATTTTTGAATTTTAATTATGGAATATGGTGTGAATGGAGCTTGAATCAATTGAAAGTAATTGATACACATAAAGGATTATAGACCATTTCCCTCCCCTAAATTCATGTGATTTCATATTATCTTGATGAGCCCTAGAATCCTGACTTCTTGAAAGAATGTTAAGTATTGAATGGTTATGAAGCATCTGCAGCACACGTTGTCATAGCAGTCTATACCTTCTGTGTGCTAACACTCCCTGTAGTTGGTTGAATAATGGCAACCCAAACATAACAATTCCTGATTACTATGATTTGAAACTATTACCTTGTTTGAACAAAGGGTCTTTAGGGATATAATTAACTTAAGGATGTTGAGATAAAGAAGTTACCTTGAATTACCTGAAGGCCATCAGAAAGGTCTTGATGAGAGAAATTAGAGACAAGTCACCAGAAGAGAAGGCAGTGTGATGTAGCCCAGGGCCATGGAATGCTGGCAACCATTTGAAGCTGAAAGAGGCCAGGAACAGATTCACCACTGGATTTCCCAGGGGGAGTGCAGCTCTGCTGACAATTCTATTTTGCACTTAGGATCTCCAGGATGATGAGAGAAGAAATTTCTCTCTTGTTATCCAGCTCATGTTATGGTAATTTGTCACAGAAGCCTCAGGACATATTTACACCAATGTAACAATCATTAACTGAACATCTGTTTTCAGCAGTAGACAGTAAGCTCCCAAAACCCCTGATTAGATTTTAAACCTGGTTGACTCTAGTAACTAGTAAAGGCCTAGGCACTATTTAGGTTTTGTTGGATACTTGATAAAATGAGTAAATAAACTGTCGTTTCAGTGTTTAGCTGAGAGATTGAGCAAATATGCAAATGGCCCCGGGAACAAATAATATGTTAATTTATGTAAACCCATATATAATTAATAACTGTACAATGTTACTGTATTTATGGTTATTCATCAAAGGGATTGACTGGATAATAAACATTTTATGACTGAAAGCCAAGTTGACAACATTTCATAGATGATTTCATTGATAGAATTTGAATTTCTAAGCCAATGAAAATGGACATTCTCTAAAAATGGAGAGAGTGCCAGATTGAGGCACAGGAGATGTTATTTTCCCAGGCACTGACATCTAAGTTGAATGGCTTTTCAGGATGGTCACTATCAAGCTTCATGCAGTGTCTTTACATTCTCGATGCATGCTGGTCTTGTGTTACAAGGCAGTGAGGTGATGATGTCAGTGGAACCCATGTAAGGGACAGATACCTCAATATATTCAAGAAAAGAGATGAGAAAAGTCAGGAGCTTAATTGCAAGCAACATGTATCACCGATATTTCATGAAGGGACACTTACTTCTACCCCAACAAAGTGGGAGACCCTATGTACCCTAACATGTGGATCATTTGGGTATTTCACCTTGACACTGTTGCCTTCAGGCCTAGATTTAAAAAAGAAAAAATAAAAGGAAATAAAAACCAAAGTAACACAAATGACTTCCTCATGGTTTGCAGTAAACTCAGCTTGCTGGAAATGCTGTTCATTGAGGATCTTACCATTGCACTCACTGATTACATGATCTTTCTTAGTCACTCCATTGTGCTAGCATTGATCGCTCTGTCGTGTTGCTTTATGCTTCACTTTGGGGTTCAAATAAGAATGATGTGTGCATGTGTGTGTGTCTTCAGAAGCAGAAAGGTTTTCCATTTTGCGGCCATGTAAGATTTTTTTTTTCCTTACCTCAACCCTAACTTCTTTTTTTTTCTTTCATTTTTTTTTTAATTTTTATTTTATTTTATTTTATTTTTTTGTTTTTTTGAGACAGGGTCTCACTATGTAGACTGACCTGGAACTCATTGTGTAGCCCAGGCTGGTCACAAACTCACAGTGATCGTCCTGCCTCAGCCTCCCGAGTGATGGGATTACAGGCATGTGCCACAACACCTGGCTTACCCCTAACTTCTTATTTTCTATCATCTATGCGAACTGCTGGCTCTGTGTGATACTTATCTTGCCATGGTTTATGCCTACATCAACCCCCACCTATACCAATTATGTTTCAAAGAGCTACCTGAGAAGTTGGTGATGCATTCATTTTCTGAATGCCTATAGTACCTTTCTATTTTCTTATATTTTTATTTTGTAATCTAAATGGCAGGGTCTACCACTTATGGAACGTTCACTATATGTCAAACATTGGATTTATGTCACTCATACACATTATTCCATTTAATTCTTACAATAATTCTGTGGAGTGGACTTTATTATCCCTATTTTGAAGCCATAAAAACAGAAATTTAGAGAGATTTAAGTGATGTGTACATGTACTCAGTTTCTCGGTGGAAGATCCATAAATTATACATAGATAACTGGGGTGTGGTGGCAGGTACCTGTAAACCCAGTAGTCAGGAGGCTGAGGGAGGAGGAACACCTTGAGATTGAGGATAGTCCAGGCTACATAATGAATTCAAGGCCAGCCTTGTACCCAGCAAGACTTTGTCACAAAACAAAACAAACCACAGTTTACACAGAGGCAATTTGTAGAGTTCATATTTTTAACATTTAAAACATTTGTATCTTAGTTTAATATTGATAATTGATGCATTTTCTTTCATAGCTCATATTATGTTTGAGACTAGAGACTGTTATCTCTTTTATCTGTAATTGCTACTTCCAGGACTCAGAAACTGCAAAAATGGTTAGATGAATGAATCAGTCTTTAGAATTACATTATGGAAATGAAGTTAATAGGCTTTAAAACAATTTTGGAAAGTTGTAAGAAAGTTATACTGATGGTTAAAAGTAAGTCATCTTTAAAACTCGAAAGATGGAACTTTTGGATAAGCATGATTCACATTTACTATCTAGACCTCCTATTTACTACAGTTCTTTATGTAAATAATGCACAAAACTATAGGATATTATTTAAAAATTTGTGAAGTTTTCTAATGTAGATAATTTGGTTCATAGTAGTATCTAAATATTTCAACCTAATTGACGTTGTGCCTTAAATGCAAATGACTGTATTAATCTGTGTGTGTTTGGTTTTGTCTAGGATGGCGTGGGGGTAGATGAAAAGTTGTCTTTACGGAGGGTCGCAGTGGTGGAAGATTTCTTTGACATTATCTATTCGATGCATGTGGAAACTGGGCCGAATGGAGAACAAATTCGGAAACATGCTGGACAAAAAAGAACGTACAAAGCAGTAAGTAAAAAAGAAAAAAAGAAAGAAAACGTCTGAATTTTGGGTTTTTATGTTTACCTTATAAAGTGGAGTAAAATAATTACAAATATTCTATCTTGAATATGAATTAGACCGTATCATGATTATACCCAAAACTTAAACTCTAATTTTTATTCACCTTATTTTGGTCATATAATTCTAAGTTTGTATGTCTTCTGTACTGTGGTAGCTCAAGTTAAATATCTACAAGGAAAAGATATTTGCAGCATATATTTAGTGTGTTGTACTATATGAATTATGGACTGGAAGATATGAACTTTTATACTATCATTACAGTTTTTATATTTCTGCCCTTTCTAACCATATTGATATTTTTAGGTGTTTCCTATTTCACCCATTACAGTGATATGGATAAGACAATTTTATATACTTTTCTTACTATGCCTTACATTAAATACATTTGTCCTGAAAGATATGCATTTCTTAATTTTCTACAATAGACTGTTAAAGATATGTTATTTTCCAGAATAGATTATTAAAAATACATGCTATTTTTCATAGATCTAATGCCCTTGAACATTTAAAAATGGAAATATTTAGTGTTTTTGTTGTAAATTATATGAAATGCAGATTTAATTAACTATTGGATATTGAAATATTTATGTTTTCAGGACAGAGTTATATATCTGAAATATCTAATTATAGCTATAGTTTGATTTAGATATCTTAATCTAGCTTTTTATTTGATTTTAAATCATTATGAAATTATATTACTATAGATATTTTATCCTTTCTAGCAAAATTGAACAGTAAATTATTCCTTTCCAGTATAAGCAAAGTGTACATGAGATGTCCTTTATCATCAGAATAATATTCTGTTTTGAAATTCTTATTGAACTTTGCTTTTGGCTACCTTTATATGAACTGTTTTCAGCTATATTGATACACAATATCAGTCTGGATCCATTTTTTTTTCAGATACAGAAAAATGTGTGAAATGCTCAAAGTTTCATATACAGGTACATATGTTTGAAAATTAGCTACTGAGCATAAGAAATAGCTTCTTTTCCATAACTATATTTTGCTATATTGCCAGGGTCATATAGAATCTTTGTAGTTGCACAGTAACCCCTAATACATGTTGTATTTATCTCTCCTTCTCTATGGTTTTGTTTCTTGGCTGTTTCCAAATTGCATGGTTTGTGGGCAGGCACTATTGTAAGTTTCCTTACATAATTCTGCCACATAAACTTTCTTTTGACCTGTACCTCCTGGGAGACGTTCTTATCATGACTAATGGTAATGATCTACCGTCACGAGATATTTTCATAGAGACTAATATTACTGAATATACTCATTTTGCCTGTCTCCTAAGCCAGAGTTATTCCTCTGGGAAATGATAGAAAAGAATTATACAGTGGCCTACTAATATCGCTAACTATGCACTCTTATGATTATGCATATTCATGAAAATAGCTATCTGAACTTGATAGGACTTTGTAAGATAGGAATATATAAGTTCAATTGTAATTAATTAAGAAAACTATGCAAAAAGGAAAAAAATGATTTTATTGTCCATACTGTGGTTGTCAAATCTGTTTAGGTGCCAAAAGCAATTTAAATAACTGAATCATGTAGAGGTGCAAGATCCCAACAATGAATGTAACTATACTGTATCCCTAAAATGTACTAATAAACTCAATTAAAGCTGAAAAAAAAATCAGATATAAAAAAACCCTGAATCTTAAAAGTGCATTTGTTAGAGACCTTTAATTGAAGTAGAAGCATGAGTCAAACTCTCATCTTGTTTGTGTAAATGAATATAGAGAGTCTGATCCATTGCCATTGCACATGCTAAACACTTAACAATAAATTGTCGAATAAGTTTCCAAAATATTTCATTTTCTGTGAACATCATTAAGACATTTTCTGCATTTTAGGATAAGAATGCTATGAAAATCCAAACAGTCTAAAGCATTGTCCAGTTTCTCTGGAGAATATTCTATGTGAACCTCCGTTTCCTCCCCCAAGTTTATTTTATATTTCTGCATCTAAAATTTTATCACCTTGCCCTAATATCAGGAATGTTCTTTTTGATCTAAACTTTTTCCCACTGGTATTTCTCAATTGAATCCTAATTAGGGAACATGTCATTTTATGGCATAGTCATTCAATGTGGCGGGGGGGAGAGAAGAACCCGGGCCAGTGCCAGCAAAACTGTGCACATGACTCTACAATGGATGGAGTCTAACTTTAAAATTAATATGAATGTTCAATTAATGGGGCATAAAATAAAATGCAATTTGAAACGGAATGGCGTAGTGCTATTAGGGTCATAGATTATTGGATCAGTTTAGTGCTCAGAAATGATGTTGGAATTGGCTAGTCACTGGTAGAATTAGCTAGATACTGACTGCCGTTGTAGTGGTTCCCATTAATTTTAGGATTCTTTTTTCTAACACATCAGGTCATAGAGCATGCATGATTATGTTTATTGACTTTTTTTCTCTCTCTTTTTCTACATGGCCAAGAAACCCTACTTATACAACTAATCATTAGAGCAGTCTTATATTGTCTTAACAGTATTCTCAATAAAATTAGTGGTCATTTTATTTACTTTGCCTTTTTTGCAAATGTTCTTTCTATGTTTTCACTCTGCAGGAAATGGTGGTCCTTTAATATTGGATTAACTTTTGAATGCTATTTGGTTTTTCTATCTGCAGTATATCATTCCTTGAAATATCTAGGCAATATACAAGTTCTGATTCATTGCAATCTGATTTGATTTTAGATAAAATTGGAGTGTATGCATTCTATTACTCATAAGGTCTTGAAAGTCCACATAAAATGACACATTTTAGGAATATGTAAAGGCTATCACAATTATTTTATTCAGTTTATTTGTCTTGTAGATCTTTATTTCCACATTTGCATCTCTATATACATTCATTGTTACTGGTGCATTGAATATATTTTCATATATATGTATATAGTTTTCAATAGTTTATTATAGCCAACTGTTGATTATCTGCATTAACAGAATAGAAAAGAGGTGTGGATATTTAAATATCACTTATGTTTGAACTTAAAATATGTCTGTTCTAAAAGTTGAATGTAGGTATATTTAGTAATTTAGAAAGTAACATGAGAATTAATGGTGTAATATAAAACAAATTCAGGATATTGTCTTTTTTTCTTAACTCCTTTCAATTTTTGCCTAAACTTCCCATTAGTAAATCTATCACTGTCCTCTGACTGTCTTCTATTACTTGTATTTTATCATAAGCTAAGCACAGCTGCCTTTTCAAAAATATTTCTTTAGTCAAGATCCAATGAAAGGATTAAGGTACAAAGCTCTTGCTTGCTACATGTAAAATAAAAGTAGCTGGTGGGACTTCAGAGCTAAAAGGGAAATCAGTGTTATCTATAGAGAGAACAATCTGCATTTATGTGTATAGACACAATTTGTAGTGCGATATTGCATTACATGTATTGCTCGCAAACACAGATACATAGCTGCTGATTACTATGTTTATTTAATTCAGAGTGGAGAGCATATGCTATAGCTAAAAGAAAATAGGCTGGAAGCCAGAGAAACACATGTAAAATTTCAAATCTAGCACTCATTTCCTATCTGCCACTTTTGGCAAATTATTTCCTTTTTTCTTTAGTAGGGGATAATAATATACACAGTGTAGTAAAATGAATACATTAATATATATATCACTGTATATATATCAATATATATATCACTGTATATATCAATATATATCACTGTATATATATATATCAATATATATATCACTGTATATATATCAATATATATATATATATTGATATATTGATATATATATATAATCTCCACACAGTGTGTGGCAAATGGCTCACTTTTCACTCATATTATTTCTCCTCTAATTACTATTCATGGTCCAGGTAGAGAATAATTAGGCTAATTAGCATAATGGAGCAGTTGTAGCTTTCCTGCCAGATGAAGATCATAAGAACTTCAGTTATTTCATTTGCTTTTCCCAAAGTTTAAGTTTTAGAAATTAATTCACAAACGTTCAGGTTTCAGAAATTAATTTTTGTTTGGTAAATTAATTTTCAGAAAACTGTAAACTTAATTTTCTGAAAAATAGCAAAATTTGTTGCTCTTTAAATGATGTCCTGTAAATATGAATGGAGTATTCCTTTCTGGAGACATTCTGTAGAAAAACATTTTCACAAAGAATTTCTGCAGTCCTACTCTGAAAATTAAAGGAAAATCTTTGTTCTCCTGTATCAAGAATGCTTAACCCTGAAACTTTATGTCACATCATTTTTGCCTTGCTCTTTTCACGTCGGTTCAGCATTTCTACTATTAAACAGAACATGTTCACTTGCACCAGATTCTGCTAGTTTGTTATGAAAATCACCAGAATTCTCTTAAACTTCCATTGTGACTTAATGAGCCAAATTTGCAGCCATCGTGGTGTGAAAAACTAGCATTAAACCTCAAGAGTTTTGAACAATTACTTAAATTCTGTATGGCTTAAATGACAGCTTACATGTACAAGATTAGGCTGTATTTCAATTTCTTGCCTTATCTGAAGAATATAAAGCAGTAATGATGATGCACATGGGGATGCTGCTGTTCTTGGGGACAAAATGAAAGTAGTAACCACTGGGGCCAAGCTGGTCAGCACATGAAATGTTAAAACATTAGGAATGTATCAATCCTCAGAAAAACAGATTGGCTGTTACCTGTAGCAGAGATGGAAGTTTTTGAGTGTTCATATCTAGAGAATCTTTGAAAATTGTAATGATGATGTTATCACAAAATAATCTAAAGTCATTTACATTAATACTTCTGTGATTTCCAAACAACAATAAGGAAAGAAGGCTATAAAGTGACTATAAAATGTCAGCAGATTTTTTTAAAGGTCTCCATTTTGCAAAAAAAGTTGCAATTTTTTTTTTTTTGGTATTAGGAATCGAACTCAGGACCTTGCACTTGCAAGGCAGGTGGTGGAAACATTGAG